GGGAGGCTGAGGTGGGCAGATCACGATATCAGGAGTTCAAGACCAGCCTGACCAACATGGTGAAACCCTATCTCTACTAAAAATGCAAAACTTAGCCAGGTGTGGTGGTGTGCACCTGTAATGCCAGCTACTCAGGAGGCTGAGGCAGGAGAATCACTTTAAACAGGAGGCAGAGGTTGCAGTGAGCCAAGATTGTACCGCTGCACTCCAGGTTGGGTGACAGAGTGAGACTCCGTCTGATTAAAAAAAAAAAAAAGAATGTATATGTCACCACACTCAGCTAATTTTTTACATCTTTTGTAGAGACAGGATCTCCCCATGTTGCCCAGGTTGGTCTCAAACTCCTGAACTCAAGCAAATCCTTCCGCCTCAACCTCCCAAAGTGCTGGGATTGCAGGCATGAGCCACTGCATCTGGCCACCAGATATAATTTTTTAAATGACTAAACTTGTAACTTATATGAGATTAATTTCAAATGTCTGCAGATATTATACGTACTCAATCATACAAAATTAATCATGATTGACAATGTTGTGTATTTTTTGTAATTAGCTATCTACTTTTTTATTTTTTACTTTTAAAACCTATGATTAAGGGATAGTTACCTAGTTTGGGGTTCTAAACCAACTCTTGGTTATAAAGAGTTGTTATTAAATGCCAGGCACTGGGGCTCACACCTGTATTCCCAGCACTTTGGGAGGCCAAGGTGGGCGGATCATTTGAGATCAGGAGTTCGAGATCAGCCTGGCCAACATGGTGAAACCCTGTCTCTATTATAAATACAAAAATTAGCCAGGTATGGTAGCACACGCTTGTGATCGCAGCTACTTGGGAGGTGGAGGCAGGAGAATCACTTGAACCCAGGAGGCAGAGGTTCCAGTGAGCTGAGATCGTGCCACTGCACTCCAGCCTGGGTGACGAAGTGAGACACTGTCTCAAAACAAAACAAAACAGAGTTGTTATTAACCAGGACACTATGCTCCTTTTTCTAGGTAAATATTGGGTGCTTTTTTTTTGCAGTATTTAATAAGCACCAGGTTTGTTATTTTTAACGACGCTACCTGAAGTGTCTCTTATTTTTTTTTTTTTTTTTTTTTTGAGACAGAGTGTCACTCTGTTGCCCAGGCTGGAGTGCAGTGGCACAATCTTGACTCACTCCAACCTCCACCACCCAGGTTCAAGTGGTTCTTGTGCCTCAGCCTCCCAAGTAGTTGGGATTACAGGCACCCGTCAACATGCTCAGCTAATTTTTGTATTTTTAGTAGAGATGGGGTTTCACCATGTTGGCCAGGCTGGTCTCGAACTCCTGACCTCAAGTGATTTGCCTGCCTCAGCCTCCCAAGTAGTTGGGATTACAGGCACCTGTCAACATGCCCAGCTAATTTTTGTATTTTTAGTAGAGATGGGGTTTCACCATGGTGGCCAGGCTAGTCTCGAACTCCTGACCTCAAGTGATTCGCCTGCCTCAGCCTCCCAAAGTGCTGAGATCACAGGTGTGAGCCACCATGCCCAGCTCCCAAGTGTCACTTTTGACACAATTCATGCCTTCAAATGACATGTATTGTTGTAGAATAATATAAAGAAGAAACTGATAGTTAATATTTTATGAGAAAGGTAATTGGTAATACAAATATTTGTGAAGGTTAATTTTCAACCAAAGGAGGACTTTTGTTTCAGGGTGCGTAAAAACAAATGAAAATATTTAAAGATCCGGCTCAGTTAACGTCTGAAATAAATAAATAAATAAAGCACATTATATAATATGCCAATATCATGTAATATGCCTGTTAACATTATTTAATATTAAATTTATATTATGGATACTTTCAATATATTAATAATGTCCTTAATATGAATTAGTTCTTACCCAGAGCATCTTGATAAGAGACTGATGAAAAAAAGCAAGTTTCAACCAGGAGATTAGCTGATAAAAAGCAGTGAGAGACTGACATTCTTTTGTAAGAAGACTGTCAGATGTAACTGATAATTCAGTTTCTCTGCCACAGTAGGCTGTTGCACTTAATTACCCTTAGGCCTCATCAGACCTAAAAGAAAGGCCTGACACACTATAGGAAATTACATTCTGTGTGCTTAGCTAATGTCCCATCACAGCATGGAAAAACAAGAAGCTTTGCAAGCTGTGATTAAGAGTTTTCTTTTTTAAATGCTTTTCTACCATTAGAATTCTGAAAAGTGTAGTTGAAAAGCCAAACATAATCTCACTTAGATTAGCCTAACTTTGTGTGAGATTCACATTGTCTTATATCTTTTCGAATACTCCAAAATCCTCAGAAGTCAGATGTTAAAACATATTTTTGGTATTAATCATCAGTAGTATGAGAGGAAGAGCTAATAGGCAGAAACTGATTAAAGTTGATCATTTCATAATCCCAAGAAATATGTACTGCCCAAGAGGATAAGCCTTAAAGAAGCATTAGCAAATCACTGTTTCACCCCATCATCTTCAACTATTATGATGAATGAATTGGTGATTTTATTTTAGTCTACCCATCTTAGGGAAAATTCAGGATGTGAGGGGTTACAACCAATGACTGTGTAGTAAAACACATAAAAGATTCTGATTGTGGCAATATTGCTTGCATTATTCTTTACTATCAAATGAAATAAGGCTCTATGCTTTCTACATAAATATTGGAACATTCAATCAATCAGAAGTGATGAGAATCTATTTCTTTAGCTTTCACTGAGTAAAGGTGATTGTATTTAATAACCTATTTCTAATTGGTTTTTTATATGCCAATAGTTGTTACAGCTCATTTGTTCTGTGTTGAATCTAAACTCTAATGAGGGCAACATATGTGCTCTTAATGGGATTTTTTCCCCCCAATAACTCTGATAAAATGTTTTGTTATTTTCCCATCTGTGAATATAGGAATGAGATAGACTGTCCTTGTGTTCCGTTTGTGGTCTATTAGAAGTGGGAGTGGGTAGTAGCAGGTAAAAGTAAACAGTGCACTTCAATATAACTAATGCTGTCAGTAATGAAGATAACTACAAGGTGCTATTGGAATACAGAAGAGTTCTCTCTGGGCAGCACAAGTTTAATATCTGAGCATCACCAAGATGTTGCTAATAACCACCACAAAATAGTACGTCTTTATAGTTACTTCAACTATCAAAGTATATAGATAATGGCTCTAAGAAAGTTCCATCCATTCTTGCAATTTCATTAGTTCTGCCTTTTTCATTAAAAACAAAAGGTAATCAGGCCCCATGTATATCCAGAATGGAAGACTTCCGTATAATGTATTCATTAAAAATAAACATATCAGATACTGCCAGCCTTAATTATCCATTATTTTTATTTTGTCTGCATTAAGATTTGACTAGAATAAAGACCGTAACATTTAATAATTTTGTTAGAGCCCTTCAGTGAAAGCACTGGGATAAAGCAATATCAAAGTGATCAAGCCAACTCTGTGAATTAGTATTAACCATAATTATCACACATGTAAAGGTGAGTTATCCTCTCCAATGGGGAAGCATATAAGAAACATGGGAAAAAGAGAAAATGAAAAAAATAAAAAATAAAAAAAAAATAAAGGAAATGGGAAAGTAGTAGTATGAACATCAGAGTAAAACAGGTAGTAGAAAACAACAGCATAGGATGAAAACCTTGTGAATAAAGAATTACTAATTCAAAATGTAAAAATCCTGCAAATGAAGATAATTTAATTTCTACATTTTCAACTCTCTTATTAAATATTTTTTCATCTGTAACTAGATATTGGTTTTTCTTCTCCACAGTAAGATCACCTGATATTTGATAATTTATGCTTCTATTAATTATTACTTGTTTTATGATACAAATGTTTGAGTTCACATCCTCAAGGCTTAGAAATAAAGTAGTAGTAGTGCAATGTGATAAGCCCCATCTTCCAGCCATTTTTGAATGTCTCATTGGTATGTATATTAGGACTAAATGGCTGTATTAATTACAAAAAGTAAAATGAACAGTAAGTCGACTGAGTATTCAGGCTATGTAAAAACTACCTCCCTGGGCCTTGATTATTCTGATATGATTAATGATAGATAAGTAGGCTGGGTGTGGTGGCTCATGCCTGTAGTCCCAGCACTTTGGGAGGCCGAGGTGGGTGGATTACCTGAGGTCAGGGGTTCAAGACCAGCCTGGCCAACATGGTGAAACCCCATCTCTACTAAAAAATACAAAAATTATCTGGGCATGGTGGCAGCCTCCTGTAATACCAGCTACTCAAGAGGCTGAGACAGGAGAATTGCTTGAACCTAGGAGGCGGAGGTTGCAGTGAGCTGAGATCCCGCCATTGCACATCAGCCTGGACAACAACAGCAAAACTCCCATCTCAAAAAAGAAAAAAAAAAAAAAAAAAGGAAAAGTAGATTATGAAACAAGAAAACTAAAAGGCATGTTAAATGCTGTTTGGTCTTAAGGTTTTTAACTCCTGTCTGGTTGAGCAAATGGACACCTTCTGTACATGAAAGCCAGACAGATACCAAGAAACTGAGAGCTTTACTTAATGAATGAAACCTTCCACTAGTTATGAAAAGTAAAATACCATGTATAACTCATCCAGCTTAACTGGTCCCTAGACACTGATTTTTGGGAAGGACTTGAGAGAATTACTGGCTCAGATTTAGGGTTTAAAGACTACTGAGAAACAGGAAGGATTGAGAGATTATTAGGTTCCATCAGAGCAGTCTTAAGTAACCTTGTTGATTTTAGAATTGTCAGAGCAAAATCATCATGTTCAGATGCCGAAGGCCTGGCAGAACCTTGCTGGTCTCTGAAGGATGTGATAAATGAAGCAACATTAAACCAGGTATAGTTCTTGATTTTTCGGGTAACATAACTTTAGAAAAAAAACAATTCTAATACAAGTTTAAACTTACCCTGATAACTCTAATGTTTCAAAAATAATTCTAAAGCACTAAGACTATGTTTAACCTATTGCCTCCAAAATAAGATTTTGCATTTTAAATGGTTTACCAAGAAATGTATCTTAAACTTTTGAGGTAAACGTCTTTATTTTGTTACACAACCAAAAATCTTAAAACTATCTATCTTAGTACATTAACGTTTTAACAGGTCAACTTTTAGTCTTTAAGAGCAGTTTTCACAAAATTTTACTCCACGTTAAAAAAATGTAGTTAACATATTGTAGACACTTTAATATTGCTGCTTATTCTTTCTAATCTTATTTGGCATAGTATCATCATGTTCAGTTATTTTACAGTAACTCAAAGTGAACAGACACCCCCCCCCCCCCACCCTCAATTAAAAATAGAAAGAAAACAGAAAGAAATAAAAAGAACAACAACAACAACAAAAGATTAGGTTCTAGGAGGAGGGAAAGCCTAATCCAAGTGTCGGGATGCAGAAGTCAGCTTTTTGCACCCATTCTCAATGCTACAGAATAAACTTTCAGATTACAGCCAAATATTTTCTAAAACCTTTCAAGAAGCTCCAGTAGATTTCTGGATTTGCTCCTTTAAAATCAAGATACTCTGCCTTTGCTCAGGCGGCAGCATGGCAATTTGATCTGCAGTCAGTTGAAGAACCTGCATGATCAAAGCTGCCTTTTCCTGATCCTGTGGAGTGACCTGGCTCTGCCCAGGACTAAAACTGCTAGGCTGGCTTCCACCTTGCTTGCTTGCCCCCTGTATGCCTGCTCCTTGTATTCCCACTCCTTGTATGCCTGCCCCCTGCATCCCTCCTCCTTGTATGCCTGCTCCCTGCATGCCTGCTCCCTGCATGCCTGCTCCCTGCATGCCTGCTCCTTGTATGCCTGTACCCTGCATACCAGCTCCAGGATTTGCCACCCCTGAAATGCCTGGGACCTGTCTGGGTCCCTGAGGGCCACCTGCCCCTATATTAATAGGACCAGGACCCTGAATTCCACCAGTCATAGGGCCTCTTGAACTGGGGACAGGGCCCCTCATCTCCAACCCTCTTGCATCCATGCCTCTTGCTTCCATCCCTCTGGTTTCCATCGCACAGGTCTCCATTCCTCTCCTCTCCATCACACGCGTCTCTAAGACCTCAGTTTCCATGGCGCGAGTCTCCATCGCTCGAGAGTCTCTATTACCTCTGCCATCCATGGGTAGACCCCTTTGATCTATCATGGGGCCTCTGGGTTCTCCAATTAGCAGTCTGGGATCTCCTAATGGCGCTCCCCTCATCTCATGTGAGGAAGGGCCACGGGTGTCATGACCAGAAACATGATGCATTGGAGGACCCTGATGGGGTGGGCCCAGATAACCTCTGGGCTCCACTTCTCCAGTGACTGAAAGCAAAGTCCCTCCACGTGGGTCATTTGGAGCATCTCCTAACAGTCCTCGAGGAGGTAGGCCACCAGGAGTCATGGGTCCACGAGGTATAGGAGCTCTAGGATCTGACATCTGCACTTGTCCCCGCTCTAAAGGCACTGGGCCAACCCCTGGCATTCCAACTTGGGGCTGCATTGCTCCTCCAGGAGTTAAGGAACCAGGACCAGGTCCGGGAACTGCAGCTGGTATTGGCCCCGGAGCTGGAATTCCACCCTGGATAGGAGTCTGCATCAGAGGAGGAATGTCTTTCACAGGTCTTCTAGCCAAATGCTGAGGCTGAGGGGCTGGAGGATTCTGCTGGTTCAGCAGAACATTAGGTCCTGGGCAAAGCCCAGGGCCAGGGCCAGGGCCAGGGCCAGGGCCAGGGCCAGGACCAGGGCCAGAGCCAGAGACAGACACAGACTGAGATTTGCCCGGGATCAGTGGTGTGACGTGTATCTTCCGATGCAGAATTTTCAGAGCAATCTCTGGATCCATGATTCTCATCACTACTTGTGCCTGCAACAGGGCATAAGCCAGTTGTGGATTTTGAAGTAACATGTTTCGAGCTTCCTGGTGGCTGTTTTGGACACAGAGCTTCATCTGCTTCATGAGCTCAAACATTTGCTCCGGGGGGAGACTGGCTACTGCTCTGGTAATCGATTCAGGGGCATCTTCTGGATCGATGGGATCCCCATAGGGTGAGTCAATAATGGGCGCTGCAGGCCCGAGGCTCTTTAACTCCTCCTTATTCTTTTCACTGGCAGCATTGTCCACCCGAAGAGCTCTCCCACTGAACTCCCGCCCATTGAGGTTCCGCATGGCACTAAGCGCGGTCTCCTGGTCTTGGTATTCGCAGAAGCCATAGCCCTTGGGTTTTCCCGTTTCTCTATCGTATACCAGCCGGAAACTGACAACAGAACCAACCTCCGAGAAAATGTCCTTTAACTGCTCCTCAGTTGCCTCATACGGAATGTTCCCCACGAACACGGAACGCAGTGACCGATCCATTGCCGGGTCTCTCACCGCCAAACTCGACATGATTCCGGTTGTGCACACAGCCGATAGCGGATTCTTCGAGGCGTCTGTCCTCTTGCGACCGGCACTTCCGCTAGGCAACGGAAGCGGCTCTCAAGATCCGGGCAGAAACCTTACTAATTCGCTGGAATCGTTCCGCTTGCCTGTGGAACCTGCATCCCACTAACAGCTAATGCTTTCCGTCCCTGATTCTTCGTGGTTCTGTCAGGTTTTTATTACAGGAGTCGCATGATTCCTTTCTCATTTCACTTTCGGCCGACTTTCTGTGGAGTCCTAACAGCCCCACTACGACAGGCTTCGTACGAGATGACCATAGTAAAGATGGCCACATAGACTTCACCAAGGTAACTGGGAGGGGACGCCCCCCTTGACGTCAAAAGCGGTTTTGTTTCCGTTCCACCGGCGGGAAACCGCCAACCGAAAGCTGATTTAAGGCGGCGTGTTTTTCGGTCTGACAAAATATTTTCATATGGCCGTTTATTATAGTATAGTTAAGCTATATTTAAAATCACATTCCAGACTGAGGCAAAAGTATAGTCGTTTTAAGGCAAATTCGAGATTTGCCCTTTAAAGTAAAACAGTATTATCTCCTCTTGAGAACAACGTTTTTGGAAATTAACCGCCAAGAATTATAAACTGAAGCGTGTACCGGCTGGGCCCAGCTCCCATTCTTGCTTCCTGTGACTGCTGTTAATGGATGAGTGGCAGATCCTTCTAGGTTTTTCCTGAGCACGCGGTCAGCAGTTGTGCCGTTCCTAATATTACGGTTTTGTTCCTTAATAGTATTAACTGATTTCAATATTATTGGTGATTAAATAGGCGATTAATTAGTTATAAGCATTTTATGGCTTCATAGTACGGAATAATGAAATTTACTTAACTATCCCTATGTTGATTGGTTCTGATTTTTATTATATGATGCAGTGAGTCCACCACTTCTATGAAAGGGTAAACAAATAGTGGGTGTTTCTCTTCTGCTGTGAGTTTTGCAGGCAGGAGTTAAAACGTACTCAGTGTGGGCTTCCCCTCACCTTAATTCAAAGATAGAACTGAAGCTTGGAGAGGGCTAGATAAATTGCCCAAGAGCAAGCATCCAGTAAGTGGCAAAGCCAGGATTCTAACCCAGGTTGGTCTCACATAGCTCCAGATCTACGCTGCCTCCTTACGTGTTTTGAATATTTGAAATGCAGCTAGTGTGATTGAGGAATTTAAATTTTTAAATGAAATTTTAAATTTATATTCCTTAAATTAAAAAATTTAAATTTTTAAATCAATTTCAAATGAAATTTTTAAATTTCTTTTTTTTATTAATTTAAATATAAAAACTAATGTTCAGTACGCTATTGGAAAACTTTTTTAGTATTTGGAACAACTTGAGCGTAGAATCTGTTTTTGTAATAATTGTGTTCTAAATAAAAATTATTTTGCAGAACACTAAGACAAAAAATAAAAAAGTATTTCCAGTCAAAATTTAACACTACAGTTGAGGTATGCCATACATATAAAATACATGAACGATTTTAATAAATACAAAAAAAGTAAAAATAGCTCATCAATTTTATATTGTTTATAAATTGAAATGTAATGTTTTTAATGGATTAAAAATTATTTTGAAATTAATGTTATTTTACTTTTTAAAATGTGGCTATTAGAAAATTTAAAATTATATGTATAGGTTGCATTATACATCTGTGGACCGGACTGCTCCAAGTCTGTGCTTTAACTCAAACATGATTATTTTATTCTGAAATATAATACGCCTTTTAAGTGGATCATGAAACTTTTAAGTTTCAGCAAAAAAATGGTGTTATATATCTGCAGTATCCTAGTCCAATGAATATATTTGAAATGAGTATGATGGTTTAGCTGCAAATAAAACATCCATTTACCTTCAAGTTTTTGAAACAGTTCTAGCCTTAGCTGTTCACCCAAGACACATGGCAGTTTATATTTGCAAGTGATAAGGGGTATTTATATCACCTAATAAGATTTTCCTGCTATATCAAAGAAACAGAATAGCCACTTGCTCATAATGTTTCCCCAGTGTGATTCTTTCATTGGGGACAAAAGTGGAGGAGTTAAGGATAGTATCATTTCAAAAAACTAAAGACAAATTTATTTTTCTTCCTTCTACACCATCACTTAAAAAGAGAAGCCAACCTTTTTTTAAACATATAATTGTCAAGGGTAACTTACAAGTTGAATATGTGTGCAATTGTATGTGTATGAAGTGTAGTGATCATGAAGATGGTAATGGGGTATTATAATATATTGCAAAATTCATAGAAGATTGCACAGCTTGACAGAGTTTCTTTACTACTGATACTCTCTAAATCAGTGGTCCTCACATCTATCAGAACCACCTTGAGCCACAGCTTGAGTCAGATTCTGCTTTAGCGGATCTGGAAAATTTACATTTCTAATAAGTTCTCAGGTGATGCTGCTGCCGCTGGTTTGGAGATCTTTAAGAATCATTGGTCCTTGGGATTTGAAATAGATTTTCTCATTTACATTAGGCCAAACTAAATTTAGTACACTCTGTTAAAAGGTTTGAGATAAAGGATTTAAAAAATTATAATTTTTATGCTGTTTTAGTCCATGCTGATCTGCTACTGAAGTTACCCTGTACTCTGAAGACTGGGCAGAGTAGCTGAAGGACTGTGGGGACAAACAAGAAGGGGAAGTTATGACTATAGAGTGTGCTTTAGTCACAGGCTTTCCGTGTTCTCTTTAGTCCCACTATTCCAGACTAGAAGAATGGTTTGTCATGCTCACTTCATACAGGACCAGTGTGACCCAGCATGCAATTCCATGCCCAGAACACATAAACTAATACTTACTGTTAACTGAATGGCCCCAAATCAAGAGCTCTGAGAAAACTAGGTATATTTCCTAGTACCAGTATATATTTTTTATAGATTTAACTTGGAAGAACATCCATTTTTATACTGCTTTTTTATTTCCATAAAGTTTAAATTTTAAATATTTATAGCATGGCATACACTCTGAAGAAAAGTGTACATGGTATATTGTATGCTCAAATGTTGATTCTTTCAGTAGACTGATAACCACATATATTAAGACTGATTTCAGACAAACGCACAAGAGGATGTATGGCCAAATGTAAGCTGTCCTTTAATCACTTTCAGAAACTACAAACTTAATCCATTGTTCAAAATTATGTATATACACATTTTGACACAGGGTTTCACTCCTGTCAGCCAGGCTGGAGTGTAATGGTGCAATCTTGGCTCACTGCAACCTTCGCCTCCTGGGCTCAAAGATTCAAAAGAATCTTGGGCTCAAGCGATTCTTTTGCCTTAGCTTCCCGAATGGCTGGGACTACCAGCGTATGCCACTGTGCATGGCTAAATTTTTGTATAATTTTGTAGATACGGGGTTTCACCATGTTGGCCAGGCTGGTCTCAAACTCAAGGAATCTGCTTGCCATGGCCTCCCAAAAATTTAGCATTACAGGCGTGAGTCACTGCACCTGCCCTCAGACCAATTTTTAAACTTCTACCCTGAAATTGCTTTGGGCCTTCATTTATAAGTCGTACTAGAAAATCAGTACATTAACTGAAAAGTATACTGTTTGTTTTTTTTTTTTTAACAAAGAACAGGATTATGTAATGAAATCACCCAACTTCCTGACCAGATTTGGCAAAAATATCATGCTTAGCTAATACCAAATATCAAACCTAACATCAGAATATAAAAATTCTATAAACTTTGAGGGAATTAAAAAAAAGATTCACTATAAGGTATAGGGAAAAAAGAAAAGATTCACTATAGATTAAGTAGACAAATTTCAAAGACAGGAACTAAAAATATTTTGAGTAATGACAGGCATTTTTGAAGTAATTGTATGGGTCCTTCAAAGAATAGCTCAAATAAACTCCTCCACAAAGCTTTCTCTGACCTTTCTACCTTTTCCTCTAGATTAGAAGTAATTTTGTTTTTCCTTGGATATAAACTATTCCTTATACCTTGATATAAGCTGTTCCTTATACCTTGTGCCTTTCTGATTATAGAAACTCCTTTACCTTTCAGTAGAATTGTGATTTTCCTTCTAAACTATAAAATCATTATATATCCCCCTTTATCACTTAACAAAGTGCCTCAAATTTAGTATTTCATTCCATTGATGTTTATTCCGAGCACTGACAATACAGCATTGAAAAAGATAGTCTACCAGAACAGAAGGTTTTTAAATGTGGTACCTGGTTTAGTGGCATCAGCATCACCTGGAAACATCTTAGGAATTCAAAGTTTGGGGCCCTACTCCAAATCTATTGCATTAGAAACATAGAAATCTTTTAACAAGTTTTCCAGGTAATTCTAATGCAAGGTCAATTTTGAGAACCACTATATTGTAAGAATGCAATCGTAGTTGCCAGGTCCCGTGACTCACGACTGTAATCCTGGCACTTTGGGAGGCGGAGGCAAGTGGATCACTTGGTCAGGATTTCAAGACCAGCCAGTCTAACATGGTGAAACCCCATCTCTACTGAAAATACAAAAATTAACCTGGTGTGGTGGTACAGTCTTGTAATCTCAGCTATTTCGGAGGCTGAGATGGGAGGATTGCCTGAACCTAGGATGTGGATGTTGCAATGATAATGGTAATTTAGGTGCCTTTCACTTAAATACTTTTGTCTGGGTTCCCACATTTGGTCTTGATAACAGTCTTATGAAGGACATACAATTGTTTCCTGATTTTAACAATGAAGAAACTCAGAGAGCTATTACATAGAACTTTACCTAACAATGGACTCACTCAAAATACAGAAACTTTATAAAGGCAAACTCTGAGAACTTAGTAGGGAGAAAGCTCTTTGATAAATGCTTTATACAGTATAATATTTTATTATTTCTGGAACCTTTTGAAGAGAGGCAGTTATAGTTCCTCAATTTATAGGTAAAAAACAGAGGCACAGAGAAGTTAACTAGTGTGCAGAATGAGAATTTAAACATCCACCATTTGACGTAAGAAATTAAGCTCATATATCATTGTTCTATTAAATGAGTTGCCTAAGGATTCATAGCTAGTAAGAGGCAAAACAATGACCAGAAAGCAGGTCTCCTGAATTTAAACTTCATATTTCATAAGTGGAACAATAATCACAAGTTATTGATGCCTGGGTACTGTCTCCCTTGGCTTTTCTTCCTGATTGTCTGAGTGTAACT